AAAACTGACTCCTGTGACCTCCGTAGCATAGTTGTGTACCATGTGTTGCGTGAATAAAGGGGTGTGCCATAGCTGCACAAATGTGAACTGACACCATCCTACTCTTAACAGCTTTGCTCTGTGTTGTCCAGGTAAGCTCACAGCTGTTACCCTTTGCTCCTCTTCTGTCACCTCCCACATACCTGGTTTGTTTGCATGATGCAGCTCGGTGTGTCTCACGGTTTGGTGCTCAGCATTGCTGGGACTTTCAGTCCATCCATGCAATTGTCCAAGACAGGGCAGGCAGAGCGCTGGGGCAGGTCCTTACGTGCGTTGCTGTGCTGTAATCTGCAGGAGGAACATGTGGATGTGGGTCTGCATTGCAGCTCAGATACTCATCAGAGGGATCGGTGCAGGCAGTGTGTGTAACATGCGGGACAGGTGCAAACTGCCATTGCTGTGGGGATGGATTCATTCGAGCTGATTTTGTGGATTTCTTTTTCGATTAAAAATGAATGATACTGCAAAGGCTTTGAGCATAATTGGCTTCATGTTATGTGTTTGTGAAAGTAGTAGACTTCCCGTATTTTGATTTAATTAAGGCTTTTGTGCCTGGCTCTAAACTAAGCTCCTGCCATGCCTTACCTTTTACTGAAGGGGCTGGAGCAATCCATGCCAAAGTGCATCACTGTACTGCGTTGCTTCAGCCAATGCAAAGTTGAAATGCTCGTGCTTATGTTTTAAGTTATGTATTTAAAACTCTTTCTTCTAGAATTGAGAAGAAGGTCAGCACGAGCTGAGCCCCCTTTTCTTGCCCTCGATTAGAATAGAGTTTCCCCACTGCATGGAGGAGCAGAATGGTAGTAATTATGCTCTAGAAACACTGGCACGTATTGTATGTGTGTGCTGGAGCCCCATTTGTCCTACACTCTTCTGGTCTGTGGGAATGTATGTGACAGTCGAAGGGATGTTTGAGCTGCAGGAGCATCAGGCAAATGGGCTGGAGATACTGCTCAGGAGAAGGGCTGTCTGAAGGGCTGTCTCATCACTGATGGTACTATATAGTCAGAATATATTACCTCTCATCAAGTGAAACTTTGGTGAGAGGTCTGACTCACCTCTTGTGGCTGCTGTTGTGCTGTAGAGCTTTTAGTACAGATGTACATACAGTGCAAATCAGGATATCCTTCTGGAAGCATCCTCATTGCTGAAATACATAATATGCATATATAAATGCACGTGTATGTGAGTATATGTGTATTCATATAAGGACTTCCACCACAGTATGTCCAGATCCATAATCAGAGAAACTGGAAATATGAGTCTATGCCGGCATTGTTACAACAGCAGCACCTTGTAGTTTCAGCAGCACGAGCCGGTGTGCGTTACTGCTGATGTGAATGTTATGCTTGGAGAGTTGGGTTCAATGCCTATTGTGTTCAGAGAGAGCCTTTCCTGTGCGTTGCATCAAACTTTAATTTCTAACCGAAGGTAGCTGTAACTAGAAGCCAGTTCAAGTGCCTGTGGACTTCTTTGATATCTGGAGTGTGTTATAAAATAAGTAATGGGGGGAAGGAAGGGCTCGTGCTTGGCAGAATGGGCTTCCTGCTTTAGAAACAGTATCACTTATGTCTCAGCACTGTAAATCTTAGCTATAGAAAAGTCACAGTTAAGGCAAGATCTGTCTGTGGCAACGCGAGGTGGAACTGCTGCAGAGATTGGAACAGCAGAGCAGGGCGTTCCGGGCGGGGAATTGGTTTGGGAAGGTAAGGGCACGCGTTGTGCAAGGAGCAAGGAGGGGCCGAAGCGCTCCGCGTGAGCAGCTGGCACATCAAGCTGCATGGGAGGTCTGTTTAAAACCACTTTGTTTAGCAGAAAAGCAACAATTAGGATTAAAAGCAGTTTGTCTGTTAACATCTAGGATTAATTTCCTGGCTCTGACTTCATGTTGGCATCTACATTGTGAAAGAATTAAAGCCAAACTTTGGTCAAACATCTGCAGAGTATCTAGAAAGTAGCAGAAGTGTCTCTGTATGTGATCTCTGGCTGAGGTCTGTGAGCTCACTGAACTTTTCCCGTTGTCAGGGTGGGCTGTGACATGTGCCTGGTTATGCCTGGCTGTGGAACTACATTTCCTAATAGCTGGGAAGCCCTATACAATGGTGCAGCACTCTTCTTCAGTTGCTTCATGTATTGAGAGAATTCTAGAAGCAATTCTAGAAACACGATGTTGGGTTACATCCATTGGCTTCCCCTGTGGCCTCTCCCTTCCCCAGACAGCTCAGCTCAGGTGCTTTCTTCCAGAGCACAGCCCCTGTTTTTATTTGCACTGCAGTGGCCCTGCAGGAGCTGCGCATGCCTTGGTGCTCTGCTGTCCTGTTCCATCTGCATTCCTTACATTGGCTGCCTACATAGCATGGACTAATTTAAACCAGTAGTTCTGATTTTTAAAGCTCGGCTATATTTGAAGATCATCTTCAACCTTCACTATCTGGGCATCCATGGTTGGTTCATTGCTTACTGTTTCTTGCTGGCCTGCTCTAAATTTGGAGTTATGCACCTTTCTCAAGGTGCAGCTTGCTTTGTCCCTCACCCTGCTGAAACAGCTTCTTGTATTTTTAGTGTGTGATGGGACTTGATTACTAACAGCTTGATAGCTTTTTTCTCTCCTTTTTTCAAGCCGTCTGACAGGAATGGACCAAATGCTGTCAGTATTCTTGTTAATAAATTTGCAGGCGCTCAGTGATGGTGCTGCTCCTTTGGAGGGACTTTGGGCAATGAGCCCTGCTTGCTGAACAGCAACATCAGGAAGAGCATCTCCTCTCTGGAAGTCTGTAAGTAGAGAAAATCCCATTTAGGAGAGCAGTTTGTGTTTAACATGTTTGTATTCTGATCTTCCTGTGTCTCCACATGCCCAAGGCCTTACCCTGCAGCTGGATATGGCAGATGGGTGACTCAGGGCCATCAGCCTCCCCCTGCTCTGCCATGGCACGGTCATTGTCTCTTGTGGAGGGATGGATAAGTGGATCTGATGCCCTTCCCCACGAGGGCTGTGAGTCCTAACTGGAGCTCCATCACCTGGGGGAGATTGGGCCACATGGATGTGGGCTTTAGGGGAATGACAGTGCTTTCACATCTGTCTTCTATGGATGGGCCAAGTGGGTGCATCATGTTGCAGCCGAATGGGGGCTGCGTACTGGAGGAGGGCATGTGGGCTTTGGTGCTGTCAGCCAGCACCTGTGTGGAGTTCTGTATGCCGCGCAGGATGCAGGCAGAAGCGTGGCTGAGATTTTCTTGCAATGAAAAGCTTTTTATGGGGCAAAGGAAAAGTACATAGAAAGGAAGTGAAGCGCTCCAGTCTTGGGCTTCTGATGCAGAGTCAAGAAGAAATAGTGGAAATATTGGTAATGGAGAATGGCAACAAGTTAAATCACATTCTAGCGTTGTGTGGAGGTGTGAAGCTGCTGCGAAACACCCAGCTCTCACAGCTCTGTTGACTCCAATAGACACACACAGCTAAGTGAGTTGGTATGAGCTCATCGGGCGGGCAGGGAGCAGAGCAGGTCTTTATGAACGTAAGCACATTGGGTAATAACTGAAATGCCTGAAAATCGTCACAGCACCGATAGGTGTGAACTTATGCCAACTGGCAAAGAAGTAAATTTTGTGTCTTAATTATCAAGGAGCAGATGATTACGTTATGTCATATCACTGCGGGGGGGGGGGGGGGCGATGAGATTAGAAGCCTGGGGAATGAGAATATCCTCAGAAAAGCAAAGATGATGATATTTGCTTTGGGAAAAAAGTCCGTAAGAGGCTGGCATTGTACTGCAGTTACAGCAACAACTGCAGCCAGCAGCTGAGTGCCCGCTTCCACACCGCGCTCTGTTCAAACAGCGATCAGTGTGCGTTTCTGGGATTAGGTGCTAAATGGATTACTGGGAAATTCTCAAAATAAAAACGTGTAATCCTTTTACAAAATGTAGCTGGCAATTGAGAAACACCACTTTAATGGGTGGTTTTAATATTTTTTTTAGATTTTGGCATTAAAAATAGAATGCAGGTCATTCTGCCTGGCTCAACTGTTTTGATTATTTTGTTAGATAAAGAAAGGGGATATTCACATTATAATATGTGCCAAAGCTAATATTTACCCTGTATAGCACATAAAGGCAGAATTGCACTGAGTGAAACTGAGAGCGGAAGAGAACTAACTCTTCTCAGAGTCCACTGTAGATAGAACAAATATTAATGGATTTAAATCGTTCTAATGCAGTCAGGAAAGATACCAGGGAAAAAAAAAATCTGTCAGCGATAGAGAAGTGAGGCATGGGAGGGTTAGCAGAGGGATCCCTCGGAACTGCTCTCTGGTAAGCATTAGCCCACTTCTTGGCAGGGTTCATCTGCAGCAGAACTGCTCTGGGACAGATGTAACTCCCTCTTCAAGTCCTTTCCACTCCCATTTTCTAATGCTTTTAATAAGGCTTTTGTTTGACTGTGAGCTTCATCTCTAGCACATCGCCTTGGCCATTTGAAGATGCTGCTCCCTGGCTCTGCCACTCGCTTGTGCATGTAGCTGTGCAGCAGCTCATGTTGCTGTGGGGTGAAGACAGCACTGCTGGCATGGCACAGCTGCTGCTCCCTGCTCTGCATGGTGAGGAGATGGAGCACGCTGAGTTTCAGCACCAGCAGCTGCCACAGAGCAATCGAGATGGGAAGGAAGAGGTGAGGCTGAATTCTCCTCTATGTTAGCCACTTTATTTCTTTTCCCATTACATGAGAAATACGAAAGTTTGAAAGACACCAAGAAGCAGGGATAGCAGAGAGAGGACAGACACTGCGCAACACTGGGGTGAGAACATCAGAGTGTAATGAGCCTGTGATGTGGGGACTTGCCGCTACCACAGTGGGAAAGGAGGGCTGAGCACAAGGGGATAAGCTGGAAATTCAGATTGGACATTTACATACAGTTTATGTAGAAAAATATAGTTCTCAAGAAGTTTTCATTTCTTTTTCTGCAGTCCCAGCATTAATGAACCCATTGGCTTCTATATCCTGATGACCATCATTGCTTTCTTGGGGTCACAGGGGGAGAAAACACGTCATCAGAGAAGATATTCTCTTCCTATGCTGCAGCATACACGTGCACCTCCTCAAGCCAAGGCGCTTCGACTGCCTGCTGGAGCCAGTGGTGCATCATACAGTGTGCCCAGCAGCAGCCACAGGGAGATTCAGCATCCATCGCCCCCACCTGTGTGGACAGGCAGGGGACAGCACCAGGATGGGCAGAGAGAGGCTGCAGCGGGGGCAGCAGGTGCCAGCTGGGGGCTGCTGCCAGACAGGGCAGAAGCAGCTCAAATGGTGAACTGAAGAGGCAGCAGTCCTGGAGCAGCATGGCTGTGCTACAGCATGAGCAGGTGGAGCAGCCGTGTGACATGCAGGCTTGGGTTAACGCTGGAGATATTATTACATGAGTAATTAAGAAGCGGATTCTCTCCCCTCCCCATCACTTCACCTGCTCTTAATAGAACAGCTCCTCAACAGCCTTCCCTGTGGGGAATGTCTATATTATCATTAAGTCTGTCGGGTGTATTTTAGAGGTAAAAATATTTCTGAAAACATTGCCTTGCTACGTCTGTGCAATAAAACAAAAGGAAGTGAAAAGTGACAAACGCATTAAGAGAATTAAGTCAGTCAGAATAAAGAACAAAACTTCCTTTTCTGCCACTTGGGCTGAGCAGGCTGCTTCATGTGCTGGGAGGCCTGATGAGCAAAGCCTTGGAATTCCAGGCCAGAAAGCCCCCTCTCCTAGGAATTATCTGGGCTTATTCCCAAGTATTTTTATGTGACTCTGAGCTCAAGCCCTTACATGTGTTGGCAAATTCTGCCAGTCTTTCCATGCTTTCATAACTGTAGGACATATTCCTTTTTTTGTAGTCAGACCAGGACTTCACCCGTTGAGCCATCGCTCCCAAACCTCTGTTCTGGAGCACAGCCCAAACACAGAACACAAAGGTTGCAAGCCATTTACGTGCATGCGGAAGAAGCAGGGTAAAATCTAATGAAAAGGTTCCAAGTTTGTGACTGTGCTTTCTGGTATTGGCTACACATTCATTTTAACATCCAAAATTAGTCTGTAAGCGAGCAGAAGTGGCTGAAACACGAGACCAAAGGAATTACCTAGTGAGTCATCAAAGTGCTTTATTTTATAAAGCCTTGCTCATGGTTGGAGTGTAATCTAAGCGCTAACATATACAATAATGAGACTTCCTTGCCCTGTCCAAATAAACAGTTTATCAACAATAATGAGTGACAAAACTGCTACACAGACAAAAAGGGTACATTTCTAAAATGGTCCAAAAGTGTACACTGATTGGCCGCAATGGAACATTTACTCCAAGTACGTGTACCTCATTTTGACTTCAGGGTCTCGCTGCGGCCTCACACTTCAGGAAGCCACAGGAAATGAAACTCTGGTGATAAATGCAGACGATGGGGGGGCATACAGGAAAGGACAACAAAATATCAAGCCACAGTACCAACTTATTTAAATACATACAATACAAAAGTATACACATACATTACAGTGCTGCAGACATCACTAAGTCAAACGTAACAAAAATTCCTGCAGGGAAGGTAGGGCAAAGGAGAAAAGAATTAGTACACAGCAAAAGGGATAGCATTGCCTTTGGCCACCAAGAGTGTGATGGGCTGCTATCTATAGGCTCCTCGGAAGTAAAACGTACGTTATGCACAGGTGCAGGCTGAGTAGCACTGATGTTAGTAATGGAGAAGGCATGCTGGCACTCCTGATCTCTGTTAGAAATGATGATGGGGAGGGCCTGACTTCCTTTAGATTGCCTACAAAATCTAACAATTTCAATAAAGAAATTTCAAAGGCACAGCTTTAGCACAGTGTATAAGTAGATAAACTTTAAGCATATGTAAATTTGTCTTTCAAGCATGGAATCTTCCAGGAAAAAATACAAGAAGAGCAGAAATACAACGTCGTTGTTTAAAAATTTTAAACAAGTTAAACATGATCAGCACAGCTTTAGGCAATGCACTGTACAATCAGATTTGAGTACACGGCAGGACAGGTCGTTTTGGTGATAAAAGACGTCCTTGGGAAAAATCCCTCTGCAGAATCCTTCCTCATTTTATTGTAAGAGTCTGCCGGGGGCGCGAGTGAGACATTCACCGTAGTACATGGCTGCACATTACGCTTGGAGGGTGACGAGCATACTTCATCTGTACTGCAAAACAACTTTACATGTAAACTTAAAAGTCACATATTGTACACAGCTCTAAAATTCAGAAATATCCCTGCTTTCCTAATCATGTAAACAGTAAAATCCGGGGTTAATTTTTAGAGGGATAATCTACAATAAAATCCCGCCGTTTAAGCAGTACAATGTAAGCATCCCAACTGCAAATTCCCATTAAATTACAAGAGAATGGAGTTTCTATCCACGCGCACATCTCGAGGGTGAGAGACTCTGCTACTGGTGCCCAGAACTATGCACTTCTTCAGACAAGCTTTTTTCCACTTGTAACATTAGTTCCTATATGGCAAGAATATAAAACAAATGAAAACTTCGGGTAACAAAGTGAAATAAGCAAGATTTTCCCTTAATTTAAGTTCACGGCAGCAAAAATGTACGCACAGCATGAATTACACGTTAGTTCTTTGTAAGGTAGGAGACATCAACTCCTGGTGCCTGAGAGCATGGGCTGCCCGATGCGACGTGTGGAGGAAAAGGAAGAAATGGGAGAAAGGGGAAAAAAAAAGCCAACAAAAAACCCCCCAACTGCAGGAACCTGATGGGAAGAGCTCCAGCACCACGGGCCCACTGCTGCAGTGCTGTTTGTAAGGAGTGCCAGTGTGCACGGTGTGAGTGTAACATTCGCAGTAAGGTTTTTATTATTATCATCACCGTCATGAATACTGTCACGTATCTTTTAGTTCAAAAAATAAACTGATCCACAGTTTACAATTTGCTATCAATATTGTAGACTTAACATGCATTTACTTTCCCCACCCCCACCCCACGCCTCTTTGCTCAGTTGCTCCGTTTCGGCTGGTAGCGTCAGAGTGGGACTGTCACAGTGCACTCTGAGTAAGCTGTTCTATTTATTTAATTTAATGTTTGTTTGTTTTTTTGCACACACGAAAGAGTCAGAAATAGCTAGAACTATGCTGGGAATATCAGGCAGCTGTTAAAGCGAGTACTCCACCCCACTTCAGTCATCTTTGCCAGCAGATGTAAACAAAGGGGTTGCTTTCTGCAAGATGAGCGCTTCTCTGAGTTCCTTTTTCCCTACCCTCGTAGTCTCTGCTGCTGTCCCCAGGCCTCGTGTCTGTCCGCTGTGACATGAGGGGTTACGTCAAGATGTTGGCAATAAAGTCCAAGAAGCGCTTTGAATACTGTTCAGGATTAACAGTTGAAATTTCTGCACCGGCCTAAATACAGGATGGAGAGGGAAGAGGAAAGAAGGAAGAAGCAGTGTTTAGTGGATGCTTCGTCACCAGCAGCACTGTGATGGATTAACTTGCAGACACACACACTTCCACCAACCCTCCAGCAGAATATGAAAGGCACCTTTTTAGGCTTCACACCAGTGCAGGTACGCTGGGCACCACAGCATCCGCCTCCCGATTCTGAATGGCACTCTTCCCTTTCTTTATTCCTCTTTACTTTCATTGTGTTTCATTCCCCTGTACAATTTCCACTGCTCACACCTAAGCACGCTACTCACAGATTCCCATCTCTTGAACAGCAGCATCTTCCTGAAGAGAAGACTGAACCACTGCAGTTGGATCCCATGTGTCCCCACTTGGCTGATGCACATGGCTATCTGACTGCTAACTCATCTGCTTTGGAATACGTGGGAACAGTGAGACACACTTTTTCCAACTTTTAAACCTGGACTCCCCAGATGAGCTTCACAACTACTAGATCAGCGAGATCACAGGTTTTTTGTTGTTTTTTTTTAAAGTTCATTAATAATTGCCAGCTAATGGCTGCACAAGGCCTGCATCGCCTTTCAAGTGCTTTTAGAATGGAGAAAGTAATGAGCAAAATGTACTGCAAGCCTGTCCAGGGCTGTCACTGCTAGGCATTCTAAGTCACCTTCTATTGGAAACTCAAAAAACCCAAACTCTTTGATTAAAACCATCCACAGTGCCCTGATTCTTAGAGGAGGGACCCCAGCTTCAGAAATGATTATGATCTTTTTAATGAGCTTAGGAAATTCTGACCTCAAATCACCATCAAGTGATAATGGAAAGTACAAATCTTCACTTTGGAAGACTGGGCTGCTTTGCCATAACTCATTGGTGTCTGCTGCTCAGCAGCAGTTTCAGTCAAAAATAAAGAAATTCATGGCAGTCAAATACAAGCCTTCACTGAATGGTATCCAACTATCCAACATGTACTTTTTATACTTAATCTTGCAAATTGAACTTTTTTTTTTTTGAAAGAAATCTTTGAAAGTCAGACACGTTATATGCTGAGGAATTGACTTTCAGCAGGTTGTACCCAACAATGAAACCATCACCAGAAGTAAGATTCACAACAGCTTCCACTGAGCTGCAAGCTAATACAAGTACCTGGTGAACAGCTTTGTCTGCAAGTATAAAATACATCCCACTAATGTAGGACAAAGCCCTAAAAGGGCAGTGCCTCACTGGTCTTCTTCATGGGTAACAAAAATGTGTGTAGCTGAAGAGGGAGCTTTAGTATGCAATGTATAGAAGTTACTCTGTGCTGTTCTATCCCGTATGAAACTAGGAAAAAACAATCTCTCTCCTTTGCACAGATCTCTTGAAATGTATTCTATCAGTGCACTAAACAAGAAAAACGCAGAAGTATAAACTGTATCAGAGGAAGAAAACAGACACTTACCCCATGCTTTACTGTTTTTGCAGCATGGGCAGCTTTCTTTTTTGCATCATAATGAGTAAGAATGTCAATAATGGCCATAAAATATACTTCCTTCCTAGGTGCACCTGCAAAGGACAAGTACATGAAAGTGAGAATGACATTTCAATCATGCCTTCTCCTTCCAGCAAAGGAGACTTCTTTAGGATCACTCAGCAGCTGGGGAAGGGTAATGTCAGTCAGAGTTAAGTTCTGTAGAGACCACAGGCTCAAGATATTCCTAAGTGAAAGTTTAAATGCACTTATATGTAATGTGAAACCCCTGAATAAGTGTAAAATAAAACACCAGCATACAGAAATAGGAATTATTGCTCACTTAACGTGGCTTTCAAGTTCCTTTATAATTATACAAACAAACAAGGAAAAACTAAATTTTATATGACAGGCAGTGCTTCTGAGTCAGCAAAAGCATATTTTATTTCTGAATGAAACTATATATTTATTAATGTAAATGCTGGTGAAAAAAAACAGCAGACACTGCTGTCTTGAACAGCCACTGAGAACTGTGATGTCTGAACAGCTAATTCAGAACCTGAGCTGACTGTGCAGCAGGTATGCTAGCTGACTGCATGCATCCCCACACATCACTACATCTGAGAAATATGTTCAGTAACAAAGCTGTGCATCACAGATGTCTTTTGCTGTTTGCTTCACCCAAAGAACAACGGATTTCCTCCTCTGCAAAGCAAATTTATATTGTGCTATGTAACTTTCCCTTAATATTGTTGTGAAGATGTTTGGGTTCCAGTGTAAGAATCTTAGCATGCAAATGTTTATTACTACTCACTTTCATGAGATTTTATTCCATAAACATCAATAGCTGGATCAAATTCCCCAGGAGCCAAAGGCAGCGAGCTGTTCAGTGTATTTCCTGGACTGTCTGGAGGAGTTCCAATAGGGTGTGTCCCATCACTTTCACCTTCATCTTCTCCATCATTCTCTTCACACTCTACTTCTTCCTGTTCAGCTCTTTCAACATCATGAATTCCAACTAGCAAGCTGTAGTCCATGAGTTTTAGCTGAGCAAGGAACTACAAAGTGATAATAAGCAATTTATCAGTATCACAGAAAAATGTGAGCTCCACTTTCAAATAAGAGAAGTTACAAAGATGCCATCGGTTGAGAAAAATGGGCACTTTTAAGAAAAAGCAAAGTGGAGAACTAAGTGATAGAGCTAGCAGAGACCTTTAATTGTTAAGATGTAGTGATAGCTGCAGGTCACTTACAACTTACACTAAAAAGCCCTAGGATACTGTAGCAGTGTTCCAGTTAGAGTTGTTCTGACAACCACAGCAGCACACGGGAAGCCATGGTCTGCAGCCACGTCTGTCCCTTCACTTCCTTCTCAGCCTTATTACAGAATCATGCAAAAGTGCTTAAATATCCTTGCAATGGAAATTGCAACTGTGAGGTTTTACATCACGAAGAAATGAAATGATGCCATACTCTCTTCAGAATTCAAGTCACATAAGCAAAACATAAACATGAACGAAAGCACACCTTTGAATCAAGGCTAAAGATGGGAGTTTTAAGAAAGCTGGGAGATGAATGTACTTGCTGTGTAGACAAACCGTTCTTTCAGTTGATGGGAACAGTGTAAGGAAGGGAGAAAAGAGGAAGATGAAAATAAGAAATGTTACCAAGCAAGAAGAAGGGATTGACAGCTCAAGGAGTGAAGCTGCCATAGGAGGGACCTCTGCTTATGATACACACAGAGAGAACCTGAAAGTACAAATCAATTAAGGTTTTTGAAGAACTAACGGGCTATAAAACGCAAATTAGAGCAGACCAGAGAAGGGATGTTGGTCAGACTTTGGAATAGTGGGAGGGAACAATGAGATAAGTATGAAAACATCAAGAAATAAAAAAACAAGTTTGTCAAAATCCTGATTCTGAGAGAGCAATCATAGCTAACATGACTCTGAATTAAAGTGCTAGAAGTATATTATGAAAAGAGATTGAGAAGAGGCTTATGAAGAAAGAAGTTGGTTTCTAACCATTTCAAGTACCATAAAGCAACAGATTGTTCACAAGACTGGAAGAGAAGATATACAATAATATACAAGTAAAACAGATGAAATTGGCCAA